AAAAAAAAAAAAAAGACCAAACAGAATCCGGTCCACTGACTGAGTGCCTCCGTTTGTTCACCCATTCAAGGAATCATCCCAATCACTGGTCTCCTGTTAGTAAAATGAGGAGTGTCTTTAAGAGTAGAGAAAAAGAAGAGGCTAAAGAACAGGCCTTCTCCCAGCCCCTCCCTAAAAACTGAAAACAGATATATATGTCCGGTGGCTCAAATTCTGGGCCTTCTCTCCATACCTTTCCCAATACCTTCCAGCTGCCCCCGGGTGTCACATTTCATTCCACTTCTTTTTGCGTTCGTCCCCCTCCAAACTCGCAAGCTTTTCTTCCACGTGGTTCTCCATATTTCTCAGCAGGGAGACCCTTATGAGGGCGGGGCTCTAATGACGCCACAATGGGAAAAAGCCAATAGCCGTGACGCTTCTCAGTGACGCAAGCGGGGGTGTGGTTTTGCCTGCCCCGGCGCAATGAGGCGGCTGCCCGCTGGGTGGCACCGATTTCCCGGGGAGGTCCTTTCTGGGCCCCCGGCGGAGGTGGAGAGGCCGGCAAGAGCCAAGGCCAGGGAGCCCTCAGCGTCAGCTGCTGCTCACTGCGCCGCGCCAGTACCAGCCGGGACCCACCCGCAGCTCCATGCTTGTGCCCGGCTCGACGCGTCCATCCTCGGAGAAGCAGGTACATGCCACTTGTCGGAGGCTGGGGAGGAAGGATGCGGAGGTCAGTGCCTTTTGAGACTCAGAAAGTGAGGTGTCAACGACAGCCTAGGCAGAATGGATACTAGAAATGTAGGGCGAGTGTCAGCTGCTGGGGGGCAGGGGGAGGGGCTGCCAATCGACAGCCCAGGGTGCCAGGAAGAGCCATCTGTGTGCTGATCAGTGTGTTCTAAAGAAAATGCTGGTTTGACAGGTCTAGGTCTCTGCCCTGTGTGGGGTATGTGGCCTGGACAATGACAACCCCTTCCTCACGTGTGCATGCAGTTCACTTACTCCCTCCTTTTAAACCCCTGGGGGTGAGGGGAATGGGGGGAGGGCTACCTCTGGTCAGTTTGCCAAAGGGGCTGGGGTACGGGGAGGGCAGCAGTTAATAGAAAGGGGAGATTTTCCACCAATCCCAAACCAGAAAGAGGCATCTTTGAAAAGCTCCCCAATCCCAAACCAGAAGCAGGTGCAGTGCTCCAAGGCAAGTAACTTCAGCCAAGTGAAGCCATGGCCAACCCATTCTAGCTGCCCTCTGAGGAGTGAACATCTATTTCTGGACTTGGCTGCTTCTAGAATGGGACTAAGTTGGAGACTGTGGTGATGCTCACCTCTCTGGGCATGGGTATAAGTAGGTTCCCCAAGTTGGACCCTGTAAAGTAGAGGAAAGGAAAGCTGGTTAGGCTGGGGTTTGGGGCATCCCCTGCTCCTTTGATGCTGTCGATACATGCCAAACTGGAATCATCATGAGGACTGGAATGAGGGCCAGGGTCAAGGGCATCCTCTGAGGTGCATCAGCAGGACCCAAGCTGAGTCAGTAGCCTCTGCTGAGACAGGGTGGAGGCACCGTCTAGAGACTCCCAGTCCACAGGGAGAGCCATCGAGAAACAGACTGGGAGCCAGCAAGAGCACCAAAACCCAAGAGGTTAAGAATCCTGCTTCTTCCTCCTGTGACCCTGACCAGCCCAGTTCTGTGGCCTTGGAATCCTCCTGAGCACTCCTACAGGTAGAGTGGAGCCACCCAGAGCAACTGGGCTTTCCTCCTGGTAGCCTGGGAAAAGCTGTACTTGCTATATTTTTCTAGGCAAAGGGAAAAGGAGCCCAAATGGGCCTGGCCCTTCTCGGCTGAGTGGGCTGGACAACTGGGAATATAGCAAGCCTCATTTGCCTTTGCTAGTTATGGGACATGGACGAGCTCAGAAAAGCTTGGGGCTGTTCTCTGGCATTGGAACAGGGCACTCTGAGGGGTAGCCCAGAGGCCCTTTTTCCCTGGTTTACCTGGGAGGTGCTACTACAAATACTACCACAAAGTATAGTAAGTAGAAGTATTCAATATAGTTATCATTTATTGAACTCTTACTATGTGCCAGGAAATTTACAAATATTTTATCTAATCCTCACAACTGAGGTATAGCGTTATTATTGACTATTGCTCCAGTTTTAAAGATGAAATAACTAAGGTTCAGACAGCTTAAGTGATTTGCCCACTGTTTCAGAGTCAATAAAAGAGAAAGAACTGGAATATAAGCCCAGGCCTAGACATTCATTATAAAAGAGTTTGGAGTGAAAACCTGAGAGCTTGTCCTTCCTGCCTCTCACTGCCTATGCCCTTGAGCAAGCTGCTGTCCATCTTGAGGTCTTCATCTCAAAAGTAAAGGATTTGGATTAGCACTGTGGCTTCTTCCTCTTCTCTAATTCTGTGACTGTCACCTCCTTCTCCGTATTTTTGCCTCAATTCCAGCTCTGTCCCTCTACCCTATTTCTAGTTGTTTCCCCTTGAATCTCCCCCAAAATGTCCCCCTTCAAAGAGTCATCTTCGATCTCGTTGCCTGGCACACTGGCCCATCAGGGCAGACCCTCGAGAGAGGGCCTGTCACTGCCCCTTTAATTCTCCACGGGTTTGGAATGCAAGTGAGTTGAGCTAGCCATCCCTCTGAGGTCAGATAAGATACTATATATATCAGAGTCAGTAACCTGAGCTCCGGATTACCCAGCCCAGAGTCAGACTCCAGTCTCCCAGCTCTCTACTGCGCTCCTGGCCCTGCTGGGGAAGGAGAAGCCCCCAGATCCTGTCCATTGCCCCCGGACACAGGTCAGTAGCTGCCCCTTCAGTATCTGAGTTTCGCAGGTCTGCTGAACAGAGGGCCCTGGACTGTCTATTGGGGGAACATTTAAGAGGCCACCCCACTGGGCCTGGTGGGTGCTGTGGGCAAGACCAAAGGCTCAAGGCCAAGGACAGAGTAAAGATGAAGTCCTGGAGGAAAAGGAGAAAGCCATTCTCCCCTGGGGAGAGGACACCAGGAGAATGCCTGGACAGAGGTGTCTGGAAAAGGGAATTTAAGGATTCCAGTACTGCCTGGGGGAGAATTTCATTGCTTTTTCTTGGAAGTTTAGCGATGCCTGCCCCCTCCCAACCCCAAACCAGGAAGCGCCCAATAGGGACACTACCTGGGCCCACCCACTTCTTTTCCACCAATCAGAATTCTTGCTGTAATCTTCAATCTCTTTCTTTTACCTCTTTTCCTGCCCCTCTCCCAGCCCTTGGGCAACTCGTGGGAGCAAGAGAGACAGAGATGGACCTAAATTTCTTTGGATGACCCCTGCCAAGGCATGCAAGACAATTAGGGACTAAACTGGTGCGTTACTGGGTGCCGGCCCCTGACAGATAGAGAGCTACTAGTGACAGACTGGAGGGGAGGAGGCTGGCTAGGCTCCTGGGGGCCTGAGAGAAGTAGACAGAGCTCCTGGATTATGTGAGCACAAATATCCCCACCCCACTTCTCCACTCTACCTGCATCCTCCATACCTGCTAGGATATCCCTTGACCCAGGAGTTGAGGCATGTGCACAGAACAGTGCCTGAGCAACTAAGAGTGCAGATGAAGGAAGACAGGGCCCCTCTCTCAGCCCACTTTGTCCTTCAGGTCAGCACATCGCAGTGCCTTATTCCTTCATTGTTAGCAAGTGGCTATGGGAAACTCTGACATCACCACTGTGAAGGTTCCCAAGCACCTGGCAGAACTGGCTGGTTCTCCCCACTCACCTGTTCTGGACACCTGGGCAGGAGGGAAAAGATTGAACCCTGTTGAGGCATACCTCTGAAACCTACCTAAGAGCTTTCCATCCAGGCAATGGCAAAGCCACAGAAGCTGGCATGCCTTTACCCCAGAAAACAGAACAGATACGGGCAGAGAGGAGACAGGAAGGCTGCTGGGATGTGGGGCATTACCCATCCCCTACCCTGGAGGCCAGGAGTGCCTGAGATTCCTAGGGAGCGAGTCCCTCCCCTGGTTGGGCAGGTTAGGGAGCCTTTCACATGAGCAATAGGAAATGACAGTGGCTGATTGCAAGGGGGTTGGCTGCCCCAGGGGGGAAAGGTTCATTTTAACCCGACTCACCTAGCCTGGGTACCTTGAAGGGGTGAGCCGAGCTGCAGCAAGGTTAGGAGGCTGGGGGCCATGTCCATAACCAGGCCTTGAGCCAAGGGCCCTGACTGGGGCTAGACACTAGTGCCAGGGGACACGTAAGAGCTTGGCACCACAGGTGAAATGGAGGCCTCCTGAACCATCTCAAGGCCGATCAGTATTGCTCTGGGGCTCAGGTTGCACCTGGCTTCACTTTCATTCCCCTGCAGTGGAAACTCAGAAGGGCTGTTTCTGCAGGAGTCTACCTGCCATACTGTTGCCTAGACAGTGATGCCTAGATGCCCCCACCCTACATCACAAGTCCCCCACTCTGTGCCAGCTCAGGGAGAGGTCAGGAGAGTATAAAGTAGGGGGCTTTGCTTCAGGGTGGCTGTTAGAGGACAGAACACAGCTCTGCCACTCTTCCCAGGGTGACCTTGGGAAATCCACATCACTTCCACAAACCCTAGTTTCCTTATCTGCAAATGGGCATAATAATAGCACCTACTGCTTAGAGCAATTGTGAGGATTAAATGAGTTAATCACAGTGTCCCAGAAGTCTTAGTGCAATTTACAGCTTTAATAACTTCAGAAATATCATGCTAAATGCTTCATTTGAATATTTCCTTATTTAAATTTCTTGTCTAGTTTTTAAAATTTGAATAAAAACTATTTTTAATTTCAATTAATGTAAAAAATTAAACCTTCAAATGATGTTTGTAAGTTTGAGGCATTTATTCTTCCAAAAGAATTAAAGCTTAAAACCGCACTAAGACTTTGGGGATACTCTGTATGAAGTGCACTTACAAGAAGACCGGGTATGTGGCAAGGGCTGTCTGAGTGCTGGAGTCAAGGCAGCATGTGAGGCACTCAGCGTGGCACCTGGTCCAGAGGTGTTCAATACCTGCTAGCCAGGGTGATGGCGCTTTGTTCACATGTCCTACCAGGAAGCTGAATGCTCTGTGCAGAGTAATGCTGCTGCTCCTCCCAAGAGGGGGTAACTGAGCAAAGCAAGGGGGGATTCTGGCAGAGCAGGGAAGAGTGGAGGCACCTCTGTGAAGATGGCGTGGAGGAGGGCCTTGGCAAGTGGACGGCAGCCTGTGTTGTCCAAGGTGGCGGGCACCTGGAGACTCGCCTCCTAAAGCCACATGCCTGTACTTGCCCATTCTGGATGAAGAGTGAAAGGAGCCAGGCAGCAGGGGCCCCACGCTGGGCAGGGAGGGGGAAAGAAAGGGGGATCCCAGCCAATCGGCTTGCCTCCCACAGCCCCATGAAAGGGCCATTCAGTTCAGACCGTTCCTATGGCAACCAGGAGACTCTCGGCCATGTGAGTGACTGTCCTGTCCCTGTGTTGTGCAGCAAGGCTAAGGCCAGGGCCCTGAACTGCTCTCCCACCCAACGTGCATTCTGCAGTCTCCAGGGTCAGCCCTAAGGGGTGCCAACCCAAGCTGTCTGCTCACCTGGAAGGTACTGGCACTTTTCTCAAGAGTGAAACTGGAGGGTTGGGGGAGGGGATAGGCAGGCTCAAGGCCTCAGCCCCAGTAGGGATCCTCTCCCCAGACAGGGAACTGTAAGTCAGGGGTCAGTGCTGAGAGGCAGCTTCCAAGGGGCTGTTAGTGGCAGCATGACACCCCCTGCCCAGGGCTGCTTCAGGGAGGGGGAGGTCAGTCAGTTAGCTGCCTACCAGATTGGAACAGTCAGGAATGCCGGGATTTAGGAGCCCTCCTGCGATTCTGTGGACTAAAAGGTGTGGTGCCACCTCCAGCCCTCAACCTTTCCCAGTGCTATATCGCAGCTGTCCCACGGCTGCCTGTCCCTGTCCAGGCTGTACCTTGTATGGTGCCAGCACTTCTGCATCATCAGTGGTGCCAGAAGAGGTCACGAGCTTGGGGCACTGCCTGTGGAATACCAGTTCCCTGGGAGCCTTTGTGTGGGGGAGGGACTAGAGAGCCTGGGGAGGAGTCAGGAGCTCATGCCCTGGGGGGCGGGGATTGTACCTGATTGGCTGCCCAGTGTCCCAGAGCCCAGTTCCTGAGACCTGGAGTCTCTTTGCGTTTGAATTATTGATGAAATTCTCATCAATAGTGAAATAGAGCAGGACTAGTCCCAGCCCCAGCCCCCTAGGCCTCTGTCTCTCCCCCTGGCCTCCCTCAGCCTTCACTCTCTTCTCTGCACCTCAGAAAGTTAAGAAAATGGGAGGAAAGCTTGTGGTTTCCCCCAATTTTGAATGAGGACTTCCTACAGTTCCTTTTCCTAGAAAGGGGTAAAAGTTGTACTGGAGGTGGGAATACAGTGAGCAAGGGAGTGTACACGAAGGTGGGGGGTGCCCAGGCCAGGTAAGAAAAGAGTAGACAATATATGTGGATGAGGTTTTTCTGATGCCAGCCTGGACTGAAAACTGCTGGTGGTCTCTGGCAGGGTCTTAGCAGTTCTGTTCTGGGACCTATATGGAAGTTGCCACCAGTTGATCTTCTACCCTTGCACCTATCCTAAGTCTTGCATGTACCAAGTTTTTAGAGCTCTCTGCCAAGTCTTCATCATTTGTGGCTTGGCACCAGCTCCTCTCTTTCCTAATAGGGTGGGCTCCCAGTATGGGGCAAGCTATGGGCTGCCCAAGCCACTGACTGCTAAACAGCTAGATTGTGGCTACTGCCTGCTCACCGGTCCATCTCACTAAGGGCTATGGAGGGAAGCCTTGGTGCTCGGGGCTGAAGTCAGAGGCTTCCAAGGCCAGGAGTTGGCCAGCCCTGACATTATAGGCCTACAAGGGAGGAGTCAGGCAGGCTACCTGGCAGGGACTGGGGGAGGAGATAATAACCACAGTCATTGTTGAGAGCTTTCACATGTTATTATCCCATTTATTCCTCACAACAACCCTGTGATGAGGATTATACTCACTGTATAAGTGAGGAAATTGGGGCTCGAAGTGGTTAAATGACTAGGGCAAACTCAACCAGCTGGTCAGTCATAGGGAGAATCAAAACCAGCCCCTGCACACACTACTCTGAGAGTCCTGCATGGCTTAGCGCCCCACCACCACCACCCCAGCCTCCCAAGGGCCCCTGATAGCCCTCAGGAAAAGTGATCCCACTTGCTACTCTCTCCAAAGCACCTTTGCTGTCCAGGTCCCTTATAGATTAAAAAAAAAAAAAGCCTGCATGTTTAGAGTGATGCAGGGGCTCTGGGGGGGTCCCCAAGTAACCCTAAGTTTGATGGGGAGGGATAAATCAAGGTAAAATGGAAAGAGCACTGGGCTGGAAATCTGAATGAACTGGATTCCAATCCTGGCTCTGCTAGTGTGTAATCTTGGGCAAATTAGCATCATTTTTCCCTTCTGTACAATGGAGAAGTTAAAATGGATGACCTTTAGGGCCCTCAAAACTCCTTAGTTCAGAGATCCTGTATTCCATCATCACTAGACCCACCCCAGCTATAAGGACTCGGGGTGGGTACAGGAAGGGCTGCCTGCAGTGCAGAACTTTAACCTCTAGGGGGCCCCTTTGCACAAGTCATTATCATCATGAACAGCTGGGGACGGATGTTAGCAGGGGAACTACTGGAAGGCCACAGCACCTTATCTCCACTTGAAGACTTAGCTCATCGAAGAGGGTGGGTTCTACCACACGAGAATTCCCTCACCGCAGCAGTTGACCATGTCCAGGGAAGAGCTCTGGGTTGGAATCTGGAGATCAAGGTCAACCCACTTCTGCCACATGCTCACTCACCACTGCCTCTCCTCAGCCCCTATTACTTCCTCTCATGAGCCTCCTTTTCCTCACCAGGAATCTGATCACGTGATCCTCAGGTCATTCCAGCTCAGACAGTTTATGATTCAAAAAAAAACTCATGCTCGTCCCATAAGTCAAAAAGGAGGGGTTTTAACTCTTGAACTGTCCAGTGTTCTCAGTCCAGAGGGTGAGGGCAGAGGCACCCCTCCAACTCGGGAGTTTCTGCAGAAGCTGAGGAGAAGAAGCTGATGGGATCTGGGTTGGAATACTATGTGTAGCTTAGAAGGCTGCAGAGGGAGGGCAGTCCCTGCTTGCATGGTCGGGTCACTGAGAGCACTCAGAGAGGCCGGGAGACGCTGAGACTGATTGCCCTGTGTGGTTTATAAAAGCCAGTCGCCTCTGTGCTCTCACTGAGAGGTGAATGCATGCATGGGTGAGTGCAGACCTGCGTGCACGTATGTATACACACATACATAGGCGTGTTTCTCAGTGGCAGGCCAGCCTCTTGTGGAAATGGACCATGTGGCCCCTGGTTGAGATCTAAAGTTCTGGTCAACTGGGGATGGACAGCAGGCACAGCGCCTGACACCTGGCAGGGCGCTCTGACAACTGCTTTCCTTGTCTTTCAGCCCATGAGGCTCCCAGTCCCCAGTGAGTGCAGCCCTGAAGGATGTCCCAGCTCTCCTCCACCCTGAAGCGCTACACAGAATCGGCCCGCTACACAGATGCCCCTTATGCCAAATCAGGCTATGGCACCTACACTCCCTCTTCCTACGGGGCCAACCTGGCTGCCTCTTTCCTGGAGAAGGAGAAGCTTGGTTTCAAGCCAAGCCCCCCAACCAGCTTCCTCACCCGTCCCCGTACTTATGGCCCCTCCTCCATCCTGGACTATGACAGGGGCCGCCCCCTGCTGAGAACAGACATCATCGGGGGTGGTAAGCGGGCAGAGAGCCAGACTCGGGGCACTGACCGGCCTTCAGGGAGTGGACTCAGCGGGGGCAGTGGATTCCCTTATGGCGTAACCAACAACTCCCTCAACTACCTGCCCATGAATGCCCGCGACCAGGGGGTAAGCCTGACCCAGAAGAAGTCGAACAGTCAATTAGACCTGGCCAGGGATTTCTCCAGCCTGCGGACCTCAGATAGCTACCGGATAGACCCTGGAAACCTGGGCCGTAGCCCCATGCTCGCCAGAACTCGCAAGGAGCTGTGTGCCCTGCAGGGACTCTACCAGGCAGCCAGCCGCTCCGAGTACCTGGCTGATTACCTGGAGAACTATGGTCGCAAGGGCAGCACACCTCAGGTGCCCACCCAGGCCCCTTCCTCACGAATCCCTGAAGTCCTCAGCCCCACCTACCGACCCAGTGGCCGTTATACTCTGTGGGAGAAGGGTAAGGGCCAGGCCCCTGGGCCCAGCCGCTCCAGCTCCCCAGGGCGAGACACCACGGTGAGTTTAACCCCTTGGGGACCCAGTGATGGGCTGGGGAGGCAGCCACTGATATAGAAGAGGTTGAGGGAAGGACTCCCAACTCAACTGATGATCGAAGGCAGAGGTTTTCTTCCCAAGTCCCACGGCAACTGCTCCTGCAGCCCCAGTGGGGACAGGCCAGAGAAGTCATCTAGGCACATCTGGTGCCCTCGTGGCTCACTGCCCTGCTCAGAGGCTTTCCCACTCTCCCCAGGAAACCCACTTCAGGACCTGTGTACTCGACGATGGTCCAGCAGTCCTCCCGGAAATACTCAGCTACCCCCATATACACTGCGCTTCTTACCCGCTACTTTTCTACCCAACATGCAATGGTCCCATGCAAGCCCTACCCCACCCTGGACTGGATGCTGAGGCCCCTAGACCACCAGTGTTCCCTGTGGTAAGAGAGGCCTCTGTGCTCTGGTTGCATCTCTCCTCCTGCTCAGGCTTTCACTTTCCAGCCTGGAGACCCAGCTTAGCATTTGGACCAAGTCATTGGGGAAGAGGTACTCTCCTCTGATTGACACTGGCTGGCTCAGGACCAGGGTGCCTGGACAGCAGTCTTTACCATGTCTTTGGAGAAAGTGGTGGAGAAATTTTTGTCCAGGGCTTTAGGCAATCCGATATCTCTATATTCCAGTCCTGCCTGGGCTAGAATGAAGGAAGAAGCTCCACTGGAGACAGCAAAAGCTGGCATAGTCTCATTTGTACCTAATCCCTGAACACACCTCTTTTGGGGCACAGACTATATTCTGCCTTTTCTTAGTTGTTAGTGACCCACGAGGTGGTGAGCACTCAGGATGAGAAAGAAATCATATCTCTAGATCCCTGACCATGTGCCTAGAGCAGCACAGAACTCAGCTGACCTGCTGATTGTATGGCTGGATGGTGAGTGGGTGGGTGGATGGATGGATGGTGGGTAAATGGACAGACAGATGGACAGGCAAGCAGATGGGCAGGAGAGTTAAGTGTTGTGTCTTCATAACCTTATGGACCTTTCCCGTACTCCTAGGGCATGTGCCTTTTTGAAATAATAGCTGTGTCACAGCAAGAAATGCTGCTAAGGGGGTCTTGTCCAGATAAATGGAGCAGGGTTGCAAGACAGGGGTGGGGCTTTGGGTTATAGACCTTGAAGCTTGGCATAACTAAAGGTCTTGAGAGGACAACTTTGATAACATTACCTAGAGAGTCTCGGCCTTGGTGGGCCAGCTGTGAAGTGCCATGGGAGCTACAAAAGCTGATGCCTTCCAGGACATTCAGACCCTGACAAGACAGGGTTGGCTACACTGGAGGGCTAGTGTAGAAGAGTGGAAAACAACAGAGCTGGCCTGGAAAGAGGTATGTGCTCTCAGAGGAATATGTGCTTAGGTTGGAGCATGAATTCACTTGGACATGTCTGGTGTTGCTCATCTCAGGGGCAATTAGAAAGCGGCTCTCAGTGGCGGGGGGCTTAAGTCCTAGAGGCTTCTGAGGGGCTCCCCCACTTTGCTCAGGAGAGAAGGGCTCTTGATGATATGCAGTGTTCCTCAAAGTGGAATCTGAAGACTTTCTGTGTCAGAATCACCTGCAGGGCTTAACAATGCAGGGACTTGGGCCCCACCCAGATCCCCTGAATCAAACTCTCTAGGGATAGCCTGGGAATCTGTCCTTTTCACAAGCTTTTCAGGTAATCTTGAGGCACACTGAGGCTTGAAAACCTCCTCTCCACAGATAAAGTGCAGATCCACACACAGCCCCAGTCGTGAGACAGCAGGGTCTCCTCCTTTCCTGGGGTTCATACTCCACTGGGATTCTGCCTCCTCTCACACAGGAATGCCTCCCTGGAATCTGCTGCCCTCCACCCAATCTAAAGCGGACACCTGGGCCCCATCCCCACCCCCAGGGCCAGGGTGAGGGGAATTTTGAGAGATGACCTCAGGGGAATGGCAGATGACTCTAGGGCACTTAGCCACCCTAACATCCTTCTTTCCCTTCCAGAAACAATTCACAACACACTTAAGAAATGCTAATAATACCAATAATGCCCGACAATTGAGTTAGTGTTCCACTCTGAGCACATGCTCAAAAAGATATTGCCAACTGGGACAGGCCCCTAATGGGTCAATGGTGTAAGATAAGACCTTGATTTAACCTCGCCCCTCTCATCCTCACTTCCTGGAGCTGACTGCATCTTGCTGAGGTGAGAACAACCCTGCTCACGGAGCCTGGACCACTTCTTTCTAAAACTGGGTCCAGTTTCTTTTCACCTCTACATTTGAGGATCTTACCTTCTCATTCATTCTTTTATGGTGCTCAGTTACTAACAGTGTAACCTCAGAGAAGTTCCTTAATTTCTGAACCTGTTTCCTCTGTAGAGTGATCAGAGTTCCCATTTCATAAATTATCGTAAGGAATCAAAAGTTGTATGTGGAAGGGCCTGGTATGTAGTAGGTGCTCAATGAATGTTCATCCTCCTTGCATCTTTCCAGGTGCTTTGGGAGACGAGATGTATGAGCCTGGTCCCTGCCCTTGGTGTATTCACAATTAACTTGGGGAAATAAGGTCTTAAAATAGTTGCAAGAGAAGACAGCCCTCAGTGTTTTTAAATGTCATACATGGTAGGAAAGGGAGAGGTCTTCTGCAGCTGGGATGGGCTGCTGTGACCGCTGGAAGGAACAGTTTGTCTCTTTAACCTTGGACACTTCATCTGAGCTTTGTTTCCTCATCCATAAAAGAGAATGGTCATGCCTGCCCTGCCCACCTCATAGGGATGTCATGAGGCTCAAAGCAAATAATGGATGTGGAAGAATCTGAAGCCAGTACAATGCTATGGAAGAGTTTGTGTAAACAGGTCATAGAAAGGGGGTATTTGACAGCTGACTAGATTGGGGAGGGGAGAAGCCTTGGGAGGAACAAAGGTGAGAATGTACATCCTGTGGCAGGATCCAGCCAGATCTGACTCCTCTGGGGCCCTTGAGGCAGCTGACTTGAACTATAGTTGGCATTCATAAAGGGAGATCAAAAACAGGCCCCAACCAGGGCACAGAACAGCTCTAACCAGACTCATTCCCCTCATTAACAACAACAGCCAACATGAATTTAGAATATCACAGGCTCAGCTGAGCACAGTACAGAACTGGTGGAGCGGGGGACATGAATTCTGAATAGCCCCCCATGCTTGCATAAGCACCAACAAAATGCCAATCCACAGGGGTGCAGCTCAGCCTAGGATAAAGACAGCTGACCCAGGCTCTACCTTCTGTTTAAAAGGCAGACAGATTAGAGAGGAGGGATGTGATGGTTCAGAACTGGTAAAAAAAAAAAAAAGCTTTCCCTACCTCCAGTGGGGACTCCAAGCCAGTTGGGTTTGCCCTGCAGAGAACCAGGAGCCCAAGCACCCAAGCTGGTCATGTCCCCCGTCTACCCCACCTCTCCTGTTCCTTGGGCCTATGGAAGGACAAGCTGTTCCCACTGAGCCCTGCCAGGGCTGCGCTTTAACCCCTACAAATCCATCCTAATCCTCCTCCACTCCACCCCTTCCAGCTGCTCCCTCCCCAGCCCTGGCATTCTGCCTGCCAGCCTCAGCCCTGCCTTCTCCCTGGCCTGCCCAGGCCACACTCCTCTCCCCAAGCGGAGCTGGGGGTTGGCCCGAGCCCTCCAGAGCACAGTCACCAGGGCCAGGCACCTGCTGCTCAGATGCAGAGCCAGGGACTGAAGCTGAGTCTGGCCCAGCCTATTCTCCCCAGGCAGCCTCTTCCACACCCTTGCCCTCTGCTCTGGGACCTGTTGCTAGGAGCAAAAGGTCTGGGAGCCTGAAGTACCTGGGTCCATTTGCCTCTGGGGTTGGCTGCTGACTCATCTCTTAAAGCCTTGGGTTCCAGCTGTTCAGTGACAGGGAGATTATATAAACTGAAGTCATGTGATTTTCCTCTTGGGTGGGACTTTGGACTTGACTGCTGTCATGCAGTGGCGGGGTGTGTGTGTCTGTGTCCGGGGAGGGAGGGGTGGCAGGGCTGCTCTGGAGCTTCTGGGTGAGAAGCGTGACCTTCCTCTTTCATCCCTTGCCTTCTCACTGTTTTCTCAGCCACACTGAACAGCATCCCTGCTGTCTTGTTTGTCCAGCTTGGCTGCCTGAGACCCTGGGGCCTGTCCTCACCCAGTCAGCCACCCTGAGAAGGCTGGACTTCCTGAGGACTTGAATCTGTATTGACAACATGGGAAGGTCACTCAGAGGAGACCTTAAGCCCCAGAGGGGTCCCATAGCCAGGATCAGTACCAGCTGCTGAGAAAGAAAGGGCAGTAGGTTGTGGTTTGTGGTTACAGTCAACAAGACACCAATGTATCTGTCCCTTAAAGACCAGCTGTGGGCTGTTACCTGGCTGGTGGCCTCGGTGCTGCCTTACTCAGCCTCAGTTTCTCAATCAGTGCCCGGAACCATCCTCCCTGCCTCCTCCTCCACCCCCACTCCAGGATGTCTTCATGAGTTAACGTGGTACTAGGGTGAGGCTCAGCAATGCATAAGTTAATCCAAGCCTGGCAAAATGTTCCCTGCCCCTGGGAGAGCCGCTCCACTGACCATTGGCTGTAGAAATGAACATCATGTTCAGGGCCCAAAGCTGCACACGTGGCCCCTTGTACCCTCCCATGTAAAACTGGCACCCTGCACAGAGGTATAAGTGCAAGAGGGAAGTGTGTGGGCGTCTGGAATCCAGCTGGTTCAGGCCAGATTGCCCCTGAGGCTCAAAGGAGTACAGAACTGTTGGCCTCCTGGGGTAAGAGTGATGCAGGGGAGCAGCGCTTCCTACTGGCCCTCCCTCCCAGGGCCCTTATGGGCTGAAAGCCCAGCCACCAACAAGGACTCTGAACCCCTACTAGTTCAACCAGTCAATCAGGCCACCAGTCTGTCTGTTTGCAGTGGTAATAGCAGCTGCATGCTGGAGCAGGGCCCCTGGCTTGAGACCTTTGCCTGGGTCTGGGCAGTGTTTCCAAGCCCTGGACCAAGCTTCTCACTAAGATCTGAGAAAGCAGGACATTCTTAGTCCTGCCCTCACAGAGCTACTCTGACTTTAATTTAGTTATACTCCACCCATGCCAGGAAGGATTTGAGGTGGAGAAAATTACTTATCCAACAGGGGGAGGCAGGCCAAGCACAGGCTCTGAGAAATGGCAGTCTCAGGCTACAAAAATGAACCCTGCTCAGTTAGGTCAGTGTATTTGAGTCAGGAAGTCACAAAACCAAAGCCAGATTCAGATCCCAGGAGACTACAGTCATCCCTCAGTATCCGCTGGGGTTTGATTTCAAGACACCTCGGATACCAAAATCCACAGATGCTCAATTCCCTTATATAAAATGGCGTAGTATTTGCACATAACCTATATTTGCATATGTAGGGTGTGCCTACACATCATGATATGCCTACATATTTTATACACATGGATTCACCATAGTGCTCGGCACGTGACAAATTCAAGTTTTGCTTTTTGGAACTTTGTGGGATTTTTTTTTTTCTCGAATATTTGCAATTTGAGATTGGCTGAATCGGTGGATATGAAACCCACAGATACAGCAGGCCAACTGTATATCCTTTACCCATCCCCCTTCATGAAATAGCACTGAGGAGAAAGGGTTTCATGGGGGCTTGGCTAACTGAGAAATGAGCCTAAAGTCTTTGCTGGTTGTGTCGTGCAGCTGTCAGACCTGCTTGACAAGATGACCCCGTGTGAATTCTTTCCCCTCCCCCCAGACTTCTCAAAGAGCTCCCATGAGGAGCTTTCCCCATCTGGGCCTCCCTGCTCCCAGCAGTGCCCCTAACCTCCTGCATCCCAGGAAAGAGGGAGAGAGCATGCTGGCAGAATGCCATGATGTCCTGGGGCGGGGGTGCTCACATCGCTGGCCTAAGTGACAGGGAGATAAGCCAAATGTTCCAGTGGGTGAGTGCCTGTTAGACAGCGAGTCCCGCAGCACCCTAATTCAACATGCAAACCCAGACTCAGCCTACCTTCTGAGGCTCACCCCACCTTCTGGTACTTCCAGGGTGCCAAGCAGAGCCTGATCTGGCCCCCTTTAGACATGAAACCAACACCATTTATTAAGAGCCCACTAAGAGAATCCACAACCCTGCCCTTGAGGTTTCAGTGTGATGGCGCAATCAACACACAATCTAAGACCATTTATAGAAGCATTAGAGACACTTATGAAACACAGATAAATATATTAAATTAAATTAATACAGTATAAACAGAATGCTAGCAGACTGAGGGTATGCAGTAATGGGGTGTTTAGAGCTGGGTGGAGTTCATTAGAGAAAGCTTTGTGGAAAACAGGAGATTTGAGCAAAATTTATAGGGAGGTAATTGGCAGAGAGTAGGAAGGGCATTCCAAAATCTCCTAGTAGTTAAAAGCATGGGTTTTGCTGTAAGATAGATCTGGGTTCAAAGCCCCGCACTGTCATTCATTAGATTTGCAATCCTGGCAAGTCATTTGAACTCTCTCGGGACTTAAGTTTTTTCATCTATAAAATAGAGGTAATGGTTACTACGTCATTGTGATATTATGGACGTTAACTGGGATAATACACATATATCTAAAGCACTTGGCCTGTTCCTGGCATTTAGTAAGTACTTAATCAGTGGCAGTTTTGTTTTTTAAGTGAGAGGGCAAGAGCTGAAGCAGAGAAATAAGAGCAGGTTAGTTGGCAGCAGGGATCAGAAAAAAGAGAGGGTGGTGACAATGGAAGGAGCCTATGGACAGACAGCCTCACAGACAGGGCTACCTGAGGCTTCTGGACTGGATGTACGAGTCAGGTGCTCCAGTGTTTCAGGGCAGAAGAGTGATGTGATCAAATGCAAGCATTGCTGCAGACAGTTATAGGACTGTGGTTAGGAAGAAGGGTGTGTGCAGAAAAAGGCTGTTGTGTTTTGTCCAGGGGCCCAGTTTGATCACTGCTAATGGATAGTGACTGTGGAGATCACCCCTCCTAACATCAGTACCCTTATTTATCACCAAGTATAAGGCTCTGCAGCTCCTGCCTCCTGCCTCCTGCCCACGCCTCCCACCACTGCTGGAACACATGGGGGCAACCCTCTGTACTCTCCCCTGATTAGCATAAAATTTGTGGGTTGCCTAGGGTACAGCCATACAAGTGTGCTGGACACATCCCCCATGTGGCTGTGGTCATGTGCGCACAGTGTGCTGTGTACATGTGGGGATGAGGATGCCAAGAGGAACAGAAGGAGGCCACAGATGAGTAACAGCACACACTGCTACCTCTCAGAGTATTTTTAAATGCTAAAAATACTGGCTAAAAATAGCAAGCTCCAAACAAGATACTTTCTTTAGGCAGATTCTGTGTGGGTCCCTGATAGGTGAGGCCTCTGAATACAAAGACCTCTGATTTTCAAGCACTGCTACCTGTTGGAGCAGAGTGTACCCTCACCCCCATTTTCCCACCATTGTACCACTTTGTCCCCACCTCCCAAAAACAAATCAAAATTTGAGATTCGGTGAGAGATGGAGTTGGGTAATTGGGTAGAAGAGGCCAGAAAAGGTTCTTACTTGGGACCAAAAGGGACAGTGACCTGCTGGACCTTATAAAATATGAGCATTGCCTCTCTTAATAATGGGCCAAACTAGGGCTGAAAGGAGAAGGGGCGCTCAGTCCGAAAGTCTTGGAAATCTATCTCCTTTACCTTGGACTCATAGACCCTCATGGACTGTGGATGCTGGGCTCCACGAGGGCCTAAGTACCGCCCCGATCCCCCCGCCAAATGCTGTACAAAAGTCTGTGTGTAAGTGTATTTTTCCCTAGAGAGACTACAGAGCTTTCATCGGGTTCTCAAAATGATCTGCAACCTCCCAAAAGTTAAGGCATTGTATATTGCCTTAAAGGAAGCTCACCCGGCTGACACGTGGTCTTGGGGAGTTGTCCTAAATCAGTTTCTCCTAAGTCCCACCCCGAGACCGGTCTGGGACTGCGCGCTCCCGTCCTGCCTTCCCCGGGAGTTGCAGGTCTCTGAGCCAGGTGGGCCTGGCCGGGTCAGCAAGCTGGGGGATGCCCCGGCCTGCCCGCCCGAACCCCCAGGAGGCGCGTAGGCGGGCGGCGCTGCGGCCTCGCTCGGGCCCCGGGGTGGGGCTGAGAAAGGGGCGGGGCTGGCTCCGCCCAGGCTCTGACGTCGCGGGGCCAGAGGCGCTGGCGGGGCCGCCAGTCGGTCGGGGCTCCTGAGCCGGTGCCGGGGCGGTTGGCCGAGCGCGCCGAGGAGGTTGAGGCGGAGGAGCGCGCGGTTGGCCCGCCGTAGCAGTTACCGCCGGGCGCGGCGGACAGTGTCCTGTGGCGACCTCTCTGGCCTTGGCGTCCCGGCTGTGGGACCGCGCGGCACCCCCCCCCCGCGCCCCCTTTGCCAACGTTAGGCTTGGGGCCGAGCCTGCCGCCTATCCCTCAGCATGCGCACCTCGTACACCGTGACCCTGCCCGAGGAGCCCCCCACCTCCCCCTTTCCCGCCCTCGCCAAGGATCTGCGGCCGCGCTCTCCACTCTCCCCTTCCCTGCTGCTCTCCACCTTCGTGGGGCTCCTGCTCAACAAAGCTAAGGTACGCGGGGCTCTTTTCTGGGACCCCGACGCAGAGGGCCTGGGGTTCCGCCGACTCCCGGGGACGCTCCCCTCCCCCTAGTCCGCCGCGCGCCCTTAGCCGGGGACGGATTCTTCCCAGCCCCCACCCCTCCTTTCCCAGAGTCTCCCGACAAGGAATGCCCCCACCCCAGGTGATCTCACTCTTACCCGCAGCCCCCGCCCCTTGTTGAGGTCCTGGCCCTTGAGTCCCCCACCCCCTCCCCTGACACCAGGTGGCTCTTAGCTCCTAATTCCTGGGTCCTATCAGGACAGGTGCAGGAAAACGTAACCTTGACTAGTTCTCGGCGTGTGAGGGAACCGGCAGCACGCTGGACTCTGCGGATGCGACTCCTCAAAGGCCAAAACCCAGCAAAAAAAGGCTGGTCAGAAAGGGGCAACCTCGCCCGCCCCTCCACTCTCCCCTAACTGATCCCAAAGGGCGTTCCCCCAAAGGGTTGGTGACAGGGGTCCTTTGACCCTGTGAAGGGCAGAGGAGTTGCAGATAGGTTAAAAAAAATAAAAAAGGGCAACTTCTCTTTCCCTACTAGCCCTCCCCAGTTCTGCTAAGTGGACACTGGATCCCCCAAATGAAGTAGCCACCCCAGAGTAATGCTGGAGCTAAAGGCTGGGCACTGCCCACTTGGGGGAGAAGGGGCCAGAGCTTGACAGCTCTTATGTAACAGTCACCAGCTCCCGTGTTGGCATTGCATGCACTGCCCTGTGCCAGGGCCACATCAGGCTCTTTGGCTGCAGCCAGGACTCATGGCTGACCCTCACGGCACAGGTGAAGTAGGCAGGAAATCCGTTTACTGGGGTCTTAAGTGTGAAGACACAAACCCGAATCAGCCTTTTTTATATGGCCCACCTACCCAGCTGTTGCCTCTGCATTAACCCAGAGTGGGCTCTTCTTGAGCCCCCTGCTCATTCGCTGGAAACTGAATATTGTCTGTTTATTGTGAAGGTGGCATCTACTTTCTGGAACAGTGTTACTACTAAGTCAAAATTAGGTTTGCTGATGGCTAATTTTAAGGACGTTCCTGATCCAAACTTTCTCAACTCTTTGCACATGAGTTCTGGCATACCAGCTGGAGTCATTGCCTTCTCTCCTGGTGAGGGACTGGCTGTGCAGGGTCTCTCCCAACTTCTCCAGTTCTAGCCTCTCCCTGTCAACCCTGAGGTAGGATTGTTTTCACTGTAAGAAAGGTCATTCCTGGGACATTTTGTTCCTCTCTGGAATGGAAAGTGCTGACTTTCCCTGGAGCTCCTGATTTCCTATTCATGGCAGAAGAATATCTGGCTGGGCATAGAACAGACCTGCTCTCCCCTCGGCTCCCACCCCCTGACTCCTGTTATCCAACCACCTTCTACACTAGTGCTTAGAAATTGGCATGTGGTTCTGAGCTCAGGAAATTTTAGACAAAGGCAGACACCTCTCACACGAGAGAGGGGGAAAAAAAACGAAGGGTCTTAGCAATGCCTCAAAGGAGCTTCCCCCATCTCCCCACCCACCAGGCCATTAGTAGGGTTAGATCTTCAAGAATAGTAACTGGATGATGACAGGTTCTTCCTGACCCTCACTCTGCTGGGTCAGAATTGAAGTGTCAACACCACTGAATGCCTCAGTAGAAACCCGCCTCTAGTTTCCCATTTCTGCACCCTCACTGGTGCTGAGTGACTACTTTCTTAGCTGAGGGCCCATTGTGGTGGACACTGACACTGTCACCGGTGGTAGAATGCTTTGCTTGTACAGCCTGTTTAGACAGATGTTGTTTGAGGCACAGAAGGTGAGAACTAGTAGTGTTGCCAAAAATAGGTGTAAGAGCAGGTATTCTGTTGTGTGTAGGCTTTAACATTTAGCTCTGAATGTGCAACACAGAGACTTCTGCAATGTTTTTGTTGGGCCCCAGAGGAGTCCTCCTCCAGGTCTACCTGAAAATGCTGATAAGGTCTTTGTCCAGGGAATGCTCTCTGTTGTGGCCCTCTTACTGGAACATCAGGGTTTATACTGTCAGAAAGGTAAGATTCAAATTTTGTGTTTGAGGCCATATACTGCTAGCCCTGGCAGAGTTCTTCAAGGATGCTTACACCCTACTTGCTGCCAACAGGCTTTTCTCTCTAGCTGCAGCTCTCCACCTCTGGGTCTCTCCTCTGGGTTTATTTCCTTCCCTACCTGTTAGTGTTAGACTTGATAACTGGCAAGGAGGGATCCTCTTACTTGTGCAGTTGGCAAGGCAATTCCTGAGAAAAGCCCTCTTTCAGGCTCGCTCTCTCCTCTCCCCACCCCCTTGAGCTGACAACCTCATGGGCTTGGAGCTGCTGACAGCCTCAGAGGCTGTCAGCACACAGCATAAGTAATTTTAGCTGAGTTATTTCAGGCTCCTGTTCTGATCAGGGCTGAGCTGGCCCCACGCATGCCCCAACCAAGGGTTGCTCTAGAGTTGCCTGCTCCCAGGCCCCCTCCCTGAGAGAGGGGGTGGCAGGCTCATCTGCAGAGGGCTTCTTTAACCCTTTGAGCCTGAAGGTTTTCTGACTCCTTGGAGGTAGCGCCAGGATTAGCTATTGACCTGGACAAACCACGCTCAGAGTCCTCGACCTAGCACCAGTTCTGTCTCCAACCCCCTCACCAGCCTCCCCAGTAGGGAGAAGAGCAAGAGTGACACCTTCAACCAAGTGCTTACCTCTGCTGGCCACAATCTGCCATCATAAGGATTCCCAGCCAGTGACCAGTTGGAATATTGAAACCTGAGCCAGGAAGGGAAGATTCTCCCAGGCTTCAATCCGCCCTCAGGAGCTGAGCTCAGCTGGAAAGAATTCCACCTGTCTCTGGCAATTCATAATGGCAGGCTGACTTGAGTTTTTCCCAGCTGAAGATCTAAACACAGCTAAGATGTTTTGTCACTGAACTTTTCAAGACCTTTGAAGTGCCTATTGTGACAGCTGCTTTACATATTGGACATCTAGGGGTACAAATATAGGCCATTTGAGATAGTGCCTGGTTTTGGGACCTGAAATTGCTTGTAGCCAGGAATCAAATGTGTTCCCAAATATATGAATTCCTAGTCTCGAGATCTAACCTCCAGTCTCCAGTATGGCAGAGAATGAAGAGTAACGTAAAGATGGAGGAAAATACATAGTCCATAAAAGAAAGTAAAGCCCTGTTTTGATTATTGTGTGTTGAAAATGACAGGCATACCTCAGTCTTGTCTTACAAGGTATATAGACTAAAGTTGAAGAAAGCACAATACATGTGGCCTGTGCTTACGGCTCCAGTTGGCAGAGAATTGCATCAGAACGCCTGACACAGGCCCATCCTGTTTGCCTTCAGCCTCATATGCCCTGTGTTCTTTGCTTGCAGAATTCTAAGAGTGCCCAGGGTCTGGCTGGTCTTAGAAACCTTGGGAATACGGTGAGTTCTTCCCAGCCTGTTTCTTTCCTGGGGCCACCCCCCACTATCCCAACTGGGACAATCTAACCAGTGTCTTCTCCTGGCTCCAGCTGACTTCCTACCCTCTTTGCCAGTTGGTATTTATCTACCCTTCCTGGCCGGGGTTTTACAGAATTGCTGGGCTCTGCCTCATCCCTGCCTCCAGCAGGAAGCACTGCTAGAGGGGAGTTGTCCTTTTAACTGTCAGCCGAGCTACTTTCCTGGATCTTTCTCCTTAAGGACATCTATCACTTCCCACCCAGTTCTGTCCAGCTCGCCCACACCCTTTTATACACCTCTGTAGTAAATAACCAATTACGTCACCTGTGCCAGCAGTAGGAATTTGCCTCACTGACAAGGAGAGGAACTTGAGGCTATGGGAGGATTCATTTCCGTGGTAGACAAACCTGAGGGCCTTGGCACTAAGTACAGATGCCAGACAGTGTCTGTCTTCCCCTACTGATTGTCTGGATCGTCCCTTGCAGTGCTTCATGAACTCCATTCTGCAGTGCCTGAGCAACACCCGGGAGCTGAGAGATTATTGCCTGCAAAGACTCTATATGCGGGACTTCAGCCACAGTAGCAATGCACACACAGCCCTCATGGAAGGTGAGGAACCCATCCATGGACATGGTTCTGCTTATCCCCATGGACACCTTTTCCACTCTACTGTTGGTGTACTAGTAGCTGTGTTTTATATGTACCTCTCCTGTTTTTCTTACTTTGGCTACTTTTTGTTGGGATTCTAGTTTCAGAGTTACTTATAGAAAATGTCTCACCTGTTCTCCACACCCCCTATGTACCCTCTCCTTTTAATAGAGTTTGCAAAACTAATCCAGACCATATGGACTTCATCTCCCAATGATGTGGTGAGCCCATCTGAATTCAAGACCCAGATCCAGAGATATGCACCGCGCTTCGTCGGCTATAAGTAAGGACCTTTGCAGACATGTCCTCCCCGGGGGGTGGGGGAGGTGGCGGCAACAGCGGTGTCTTGGGACTAGAAGGATTGCTCACTGTCTTTTCTTTGGGTTTAGTCAGCAGGATGCTCAAGAGTTTCTTCGCTTTCTTCTGGATGGGCTCCACAACGAGGTGAACCGAGTAACAGTGAGGCCTAAGTCCAACCCTGAGAACCTTGATCATCTTCCGTAAGTAAGAGGAGAAAGTTGTGGGAAGCAAAACTTGATGAATTTGGGATTTTTACCTACTTCTTCAGGGGTAATGATTTGAGGAGAATTTTATTAAAAATTAAGGATTTAAATTGATAGACCCTTAAACTTACCATGACTTGAGCTCTGACCCAATTGTCTTCCTCTCTCTGGTTCCTAGTGATGATGAGAAAGGGCGACAGATGTGGAGGAAATACCTAGAACAGGAAGACAGTCGGATTGGGGGTAAGTGCATGAATGGGAAAGAATGCCTGCTTTTTCTGTTAAGTGCTTTTGCCTGAGCAGAGCATGAAAAGCCCTAAGAATCTGTTTCCCAGGCAACCCTCTTTCTGCCCAGTATCCAACAAACTGAGGCAGGAGCAGTGAGAAAGGAGACATGTAGATGCGCATGTGCTCACTTCCCTGTGTTTAAGCATTGTATGTCCATCTCTTCCCCAGATCTCTTTGTGGGGCAGCTAAAGAGCTCCCTGACGTGTACTGATTGTGGTTACTGTTCTACAGTCTTTGATCCCTTCTGGGACCTCTCACTGCCCATTGCTAAGGTATGCACCCCTGTTGCCCCACTTTTGAAACTCCCACTCTTATCCTTTCTATCATCGACCTCTGACCTTTACTTTTTTCTCTCCCAGCGAGGTTACCCTGAGGTGACTTTAATGGACTGCATGAGGCTCTTTACCAAAGAGGATGTGCTTGATGGCGATGAAAAGCCTGTAAGTCACCCTTCTGTAATAATTTCCAAGAGACCTCTCTGGGAAGACGCTGTCACCCACAAATCCAGCCCAGGAGTTACTGGATTCACACCGTCCACTCCAGTTCTGTTTGTCATGTCTTTCAGACATGCTGTCACTGCCGAGCCAGGAAACGGTGTATAAAGAAGTTCTCCATCCAGAGGTTCCCAAAGATCTTGGTGCTTCGTATCCTTAAAATCCATCAAGGCAGGGACTTGACTTTAGAGAGAGACTGATGACAAGGAGCTGAGGTAAAGGCTAACAGAGTAGGAAAAAAGGGGATTTGATAGCCTTCCTTTTCCTGTTTGTTATGCTGTTGCCTGAGGGGTACCCTCCCTCTTAGGAGGCAGTCTCCTTTACTTTGACTCTCTTCTTGCCATCCTGACTGTCCTTGACGCACATGAACACCAGATCTGAAGCGGTTCTCAGAATCTAGGATACGAACCAGCAAGCTCACAACATTTGTGAATTTCCCACTAAGAGACCTGGACTTGAAAGAATTTGCCTCAGAAAACACCAGTGAGTATTTTTCAGCAGTAAGGGAAGAAACAGAGCACAAGTATCTAAGATGGGAGGCTGACAGGTGGAGGGAAGCTACTAAAGAAGGAGTTTTAAAAACTGGGAATAGAGGCTGGAGGGGAAGGGAATGCCTTGGGGGCTTGAAACCTTGTGTTTCCTCCTCAGACCACGCTGTTTACAACCTGTATGCTGTGTCCAATCACTCTGGAACCACAATGGGCGGCCATTATACAGCCTACTGCCGGAGTCCAGCGACAGGCGAATGGCACACTTTCAATGACTCCAGGTGAGACAGAGGTCTTAGACGGGCCTCCTGGCTGTCAGACACCTGTACCTCACCCATCTGTATGGCTTTCACTTTGACTAGATAGCAAAGGTCAGAGCCAAAAAGCCATGTAACGTGTATGAATCCACTGTCCATTTGAAGAATCTCTAGAAGACAACAAAAGCTTGGCCTTGAGTATATACCAGAGAGATTAGGGACAGGCCCTCACACTCCCTCAGCCACTCAGCTCTTTCCCAAAGTTCCCCCTCAGCAGGGCTCTGACTTGTCCATGCTCTCTCCACAGCGTCACACCCATGTCCTCCAGCCAAGTGCGCACCAGCGACGCCTATTTGCTTTTCTACGAATTGGCCAGTCCGCCCTCCCGCATGTAGCCACAAGGAGCTACATCCCTATCTCTCTTCCCCGTGGTGGCTCCACAACCTGTTGTTTTTTTTTTGTTTTGTTTTGTTTTTTAAAGACAAAAAAAAAGTGACAAATAAGAGGAAAATAAAGTAAACTAAAGCTGCCGAGCAGGAGTTGCTGCAGCCTGCCTGGTCAGGGTCTGGAGCGGGGAGCCAGGCGCTCCTGAGCTACACCTGGCAGGGAAGATCACTAGGACATGGAGACTGAAGCCAGCACAGTGACCCCTCGACTTCTATTGTTTGCATTTTTAAGCTTGTGGTTTTTTCCTGAGTGTAATCAACAACAGCAGCCTGTGGAAGATCTTAGTTCACTTGCTGCAGGCTGCAGCCCCTGCTCCTCCCAAGAAGACAGCGCCCTCTGGAGCCGGCTGGAAGGATCTCTGCCTGGAAGCTCCTACGCCGGAGCCTGGCCCTGGGTCTTCATCTGGACCCTGCTTACTGGCCCAAAAGCAAGAAAAACACCCATGAGCCAAGAGCCCTCTCAACGCTGCTAACTCCAGGGGGACAGACCAGGACATCTTTGAAAACAGCTGTTTTTGGTTTTTAAAAGCCCAACTTTTTTTTTTTATTATCATAACTAAAGTTTTCAGACTGGAGATGCTCTCCTTCACACCTCTTCACAGCTGAGATGTGTGCTGGTCATTTTTTTTTTTTTTAATTCTTCAAATACAACTTTTCTAATGCTAGCCCCCAGTGGTGCTAGGTAGGTGTTGTCCAGGCCCCAAGCTCAGCCACTGTAGACCTGGGATCTAACAAGTTTTTGTTTTTTGGTTTTTAGGGTTTTTTTTTTTCAATGTTTTGGATGGAATCTAGTTGCCTCTAAGAATTGTGCCTTATAGCATTTGGGGACCAGGGGGTAACTGCCCCTCCCTGAAATATCCCTCAGCCTCTTCCCTTTTCCCCAGTGCCATGATCAAACTGGCTGGGAGAGATGGGGGTTATGCCCTTAGCCCCTGGCTTGTTTGCATTGCAGTGAGATGAAAAGGAGGGTAGGTAAAAGGAGATTTCTTATGATAGTGTATCAAGTTCTTCTGCCCACTTCCTCTAACCCACCCCTGGTCTACTCCCCGGCTGTTTGAAGGATAGCACAAGCCCCTTATCCCTAGAGCTTCTCCCACCTTTAATTTATTCCCTCTTAACGTACTTTTTCCCCCCTGACCTTCCTTCCCCACCTCAGAGCCTCCTAGACATAGGCCTTTTGGACCGAGTTTCTCAGGGATGCCCATGCCGCCCCTCAGCTCCCCTTAGCATCAGTCTTCAGTCCTACCCGGGGAGCTGGAGCCTGGGTATTTTGAGACTTCTTGCCTCAGCCCTGTGATTCTTTCCCATGGGCGTGATTTTGCCCTAAGTAGCTGGGCAAAATTCTGTGCTGTCCCAGGGAGTAAAGCTGTCCAGCCCCGAGGCAAAGAGGCAAAGAGCTCTATGTGTGGAATAGAGCTCTTTGCACCCACACAGCTGGCCTGGCTTGTGCCTCATGGAGCCTGGCGCTTTCCAGGGCTCCCAGGAGGAGGCATCAGAGAAAGACACCCCGAGTTTAACTGGCCTGACACCCTTCTCCAGGGAAGACCTATGAACCTGAGCCAAAGGGCTGGTGTACACTTGTTTACTGTGTAAGCAAGAGTGGAAGAACGTCTAATGTACATTGGAACCTTGTACAGAATAAATAATAGCTTTGAGAAATACATTGGTAAGTGGCGGAATCTTGATTTGGGAGGATTTGAACCCAGAAAGCGCTCCTAGCATGTTAGTGGCCAAATATTTTACTGCCTCAGCCAGATAGTAAATTTCAAATTCTGGGGGGAAATTACCCACACTTTAAACTTTTCTACAAAAAAAGCTGAAATAGTACATATTTTGAACACTATTCATCTGGGTTCACCGATAAACATTTATCAATATTTTAAATGCCACATTTGTTCATACTTTATTCTTTTGAGCAAAACATTTAGGGGTAAGGTGTCATATCACCATTTCTAAATATCTCAGCATGCATCTCTCCAAAAAACCTAAACACAGTCTTCACACCTAAGAAAGCATATCTAATAGACATTTCTTTAAATGGACTGTGCTTTTTAACTGCTGGTCTGGGCACTCTGGTGGTTCTCTGTTGACACACTTGGGTGCCTGTACAGACCTATGACGAACTAAAACAGGCCTCCAGCAGAGGCTGAATACAGCAATCTTTGCTCTTAGAGCAGAGTAGTTATACTGTGGAGTGATCAAAGCTTGCTTCTTGATAAATTGAGCAAAAAGATCTCAACTTACGCCACTATCACCTAGAAACAACTGCCTTTATGTTAAAGGTTTTGTTCTCTAAAGTGCTTTTCTTAATACATCGATAAATTTAACCCCTTAAAGAGACTGCCTCTTTGGGGCACTTGGAGAGTCATCTCCCTTGGTTTTATCTTAATTCTTAACATTGTTCAGATTTTCCATTTCTGCCACTGATCTTAGAATGTGGGAAGCTGAAGTCTCTACCAGTTGATCCTACAGTATTTTGTTAGGACTTTTCCAAACTGCCGTCCCTGCTCCACACTGAAAAATCAAGGCCTCTGTTCCATCCTTGCTGCGATAGCAGCGCCAGCTGTTAGACTCACCTAATGAGGTGTGACAGTAGTGTTGCATTTTTTCTGGGCATTTTCCAAGAGTGGAAAAGAGGGATTGAAAACAGTAACTCAAACTTGGGCTTTTCTTCCTGCCCTGGAAGTGGCCCAGCCCAGGATAAGGTTTTAAATGCTGATGATTTCCCCTAAACCACAGGTGAATAGGATCACCTACAAAATGGAAGCATTAGGCTTAGAGCAAAGTGGACAGGTGAGCCCCAAATCAATATAAGTTGCTATACCTCTCCTTTGACTAGTTTTTCACTGGAAGTAGAAGCCACCTGTGCATTCTTGCTATGTTTCACTGGAGAAAAGATGGACTGTAGGTAACATCGAGATCAGGGCTCAGCCCACTCCACCCTTGCACCTGGCTCTCCCTTCTATACTTAACCTGTGATGCTTTCTCATCCCCATGTCAACAGGTCCTAGTGCTACACAGATCACAAACAATCTGTCCCCATATTTCTTGGTATTCATCAGCTTTGCCTCCTAGCAACTAGGATTCCTGCCCCCATTCTTTGCTTGCGGTTCAGCAGTGCTCTCCCTGGGGGAGGTGCTCCCCTGCAACTGCTCTTGTATGACCTTAAACAAGAACCAACCTTTCTCTGGACCTCATTCTGTGAATTAGGAGATTGGACTAGTGAACCTTGAAAGTCTCAGCTCAACTGTTCTCATTCTAAGTCACTTTTTCTCTAAATACATGCCTCAAGTCCTAAGTTAGGGGACTTACATACCTCTGGTTCTCTGGTTCCAGTTTATAAAGTTACTACATATAAAAATGTATATAAACATATATTTTTAGGTGACCAGTGCTCAGAAAATACATATTACATTTTTTCCATAAAACTTTAGAGTTAGGACAATAGAGGTCACCTTGTCCATGTTCTCATGTTGCCAGTAAGGACAGGAGCCCTAGAGAAGGCTTGCTCAAGTCCACCAGCCTATTATTAGTGGCAGAGGCAGGATGGAACCCACGTATCTTTACTCCACACCCAGGTACATTTCCATCTGAATAATCTGCCTTTTTGGTGAATAATTGACAGCATTTTGCAGGACTTTCTGCTGCAAATTTTCCAACCCTGTTGGAAACTGAGCTGAACAGTGTAACAAAGGAACTCTCTGACCCTATACATCCACACCCACCCAATAGCAAAACCAGCATGATCTGTTACATACCTGGGCCTTAACAGGTCTGAGCTGGGCCCTTCTGAGGGTCCCCGTCCTTCATTGCTTTGGGCAGAAACAAGCACCTGGTGCAGGAGGCAGGAAGCAGCAGAAAGAGACTGGTATTTACAGCCCAGGCAAATTACTTACCTTTCTGAGCCTCAGTTTCCTCTTCTGTAATCCGAGCATAACAATACCTACTCAGAGTTGTGTCTTAACATAGTAGGTACTCAAATGTCCATTTCCCCCACCTCACCCCTGTTTCCAGGGCTACACCATCAACACTTCGTTAAGATTCTTTTTTTTTTTAATTGGGGAATTGGGGGAGGGGAACAGACAAGTTACTGTCCTTTTGTTCTTCAGACTAGTTGTGGAGGACACCGCTTCACTGGCCCATGTTGGTATTATGATCATTGCGCTCTTCCTGGCTGAGACAGTCTGTCGCCAGTCATTGGATGGCTGCTCATGGTGGCTCACGGCAGCTCACAGTGGCTCATGGCAGCTCTCGCCGGCTGCCAGCCACTCACGGTAGCTCACAGCAGCCCACTGCAGCAGGGGCTGCAGCCTATGCTGTCGCCAGCCACTCATGGCAGCCCAGCTCCAGGTACAGTTGTTGTTCACAATCTTAGCTGTAGAGGGCGCAGCGTCATTGGCCCATGTGGAAACCAAACCGGCGGCCCTGCTGCTCAGAGCTCACGCTCCCAAGCCAACTCTTAACCAACTGAGCCACTCGGCCAGCCCCGTTAAAATTCTTTTAGTGGGCAATCCTTAGCAAATGTTTGGTTCCCCTAGCCTCTCAGGATGCTTCTGCCTTCCTTTTCCCAAATAACATACTTGACATGCTTAGGAATGCAATGTAAGTATAGGATTGCCAAAACCTAGCAGAATTAGTGAGGTAGAGCCCCTGAATGCAAGGAGTGAGCTTTTCCAGTTTCCTGATATTTGGCGTCACCTACCTCTTGGAGATAGTGGTGCGTTGGGTGGGATTGAGCTGCCATCTTCCAGCTCTTAGAGACTAGCAAAGATCCAGGAATCAGAGGGGTAAGGAGCAAGGCTGAGGTGGCAGTGAACAAGGACAGGAAGAAAGAGTACATATTGCAGATTTGGAGGGAAAAAGTCAAGTCCTAATGCACACCTGTAATGCCAGCCCTGGGAGCAAGGAAAAGAAAGCATTCTAGTTCATAGGATGAGCCTGGACAAGGACAGGGAGGGTGGGCATGCAGGTGCCAGGGACAAAGAAAAGGGTGGTTTGGCTGCAGTAGAAGGTTTGAGCTAAGGAACTAGCAAAAGGGAAAGGTAGAAAGCGGGAGTCCTAGGATGTTATAGCTGACCTCAAGCAGGCTTTGCCCTTCCTGATGGCAGAAGGGCCACAGAGTGCTGGAGAGAGAACTGTGCGTAGGGTCAGCATGGGGGAGCTATAGGGATCTCTACGTACAGCAATCAAAGCAAAAGCCCAGTGGAACTTCCAGGGTGCTAGAGATTACTTGAGCAAGAACAGAGGTAACACTGTAAATTCCCTTTGCTTCTCCATTTTATCCATAGTAATCGATAGGAAAGTTGATGAAAATCCTGTGGAGCAGTGAGAAAAGAGAGGACTGGAGAGATAGTGTCCACTGCAGCCACATGGACGGGGGAGACCCCCATTAGGGGGAAGAAATAAATAAGAAGGCCAAGGCCCAGGGGCCTGTGGGGAGAAAGAAAAGGAAGCCCAAGAGGCAGCCAAGACAAAAGCAAGCAATCTAGGGCTAGTTGGCTGCAGGCCTGGAACCTCCTCCTCACACCTGGGCTCCAGCAAACTTCTACAGGTGTCCTTGCCCACAGGCCTCTGGCACCCAACTGTCTACAAGATTTATAGAAAGAACATGGGAAATGTAAAGGAAAGAAAGCGGGGAAGAAAAGACAAAATATTGAAAACCAGGAATCCAACAGATCCACTCTGAAATCCAGCCCTGCTCCTTGCCAGTTGTATGACTTTTGGCCTCCATTACATCTGGAAAATGGGAGTAAAGCCACCTCCCTGACCTTGCCCCCCAGGGCTGTTATGAAGGTCAAATGAGACCATGGGCTGACAGATCTGCATTCTATTTCTCTTATTGTCGTTTTACCTGTGCCACTCTCTCCCACCCTGACCTGGTCCCACACAGGGTGGCTAACCTTTTTCTCCTCCAAAACATTTTCATAAAGCAGCCAATTGCAAGGGTACCTGTGCCAGCAGAGCCACGGGTATAGTTGAGGATGGCCATGGGCAACAGCAAAGCCAAAGAGAAGGTTCCTACTCTCCTGGCCTCCCCCTTGCCTCCTTTCCACTGTCTTTGCACAAATAAGGACCGTTTTAAGACTTAGTTCTGACCAAGCCAGTCCCTACTTAAACAGCTTACAATCAAGCCTTCTTAGGCCCACCGTGCTAAGCCTCGCCTCCTTTCTGGAATTCTGTACCCAACCCCCAAGTTCTGCCTGTTAAAACATCTTTCAACCCTCAAACTTTAGATTAAATGTCCACCTCTTCAGGAAGTCCCCTAATTACTCGCATCAGAGGTAGTTATTGCTGCTTCAACTTACGCAGCATTTGATCTCTGGCCTTCTCACCTGCCTTCAGTCTGTTCCCTAAAGGTTCTCAGGGAGCCCCTTTACACTTAAAATGACTGAGAACCCCAAAGAGCTTTTATTTATATGGGTTATATCTATCAATATTTACCATATTAAAATTAGAACTAAAAGGAATTTAGATTTTTTTTAAATAACAAATTTCAAAATAACAGTAAAACCCTTTACATGCTAAGATAAATAACATTTTTTACTTTTTAAAACACTAAGTTTCCCAAATCAAAAAGAAATTGGTAAGAAGGGTAGCATTGTTTTACATTTTTGCAAATCTCATTAACTCCTGGCTATTCTCCTCTCCTTCTGCATGCAATCTATTTCAATAGCACACATCATGCAGCCTCTGGAAAACTGCACTATATACTCACAAGTGAAAGTAAAAATAATGTCAGTGTTGTTAGGGAAATACTTTTGACCTCTCAAACCCTCTAAATGCAGTCCACATCCAAGGGTCCAAGAAAAGGCTTGCCCCTTAGACAAAAGCAGCCCAAGGCCCTGCAGGGGAGGGGGAAACCTCAGTGTGAGGATAGCTACCTTAGGATCACAGAACCTGTTCCTTTGTTTCTTCTCTCCCCACTGGGTTCCCCATTTTTTTTCCTCCTTTGTGCTTTGGCTCCAGTGCCTCCAGTGTAGGGTGAAAGAGGAGTGTCATAGAAAACATGCACTTTGGATTTACCCAGTCCTATGTTCAACTCTTCTCTCTGTATCTTACCTGCTGTGTGACCTTGGGGAAGTTACTTAACCGCTCAGAGCCTCATCATTTGAAAAATGGTTATGCTACCTCATAGAGTGACTAAAGGAGAGAAACTGCATGTAAGACCTCTCACCCAGGGCCTAACACATAACAGACATTCTACAAATGGCAGCCAGAAATATTACACTGCTCCCCACCTACTGCCCTACCCAACTCTCAGCCTGAGCATGGCTAACACGAAACAGATTAACCATTCCTTTCCTTTCTCCCTGAGGACAGCTGGGCCAGGCTGGGAATTTCCAAGAGAACTTCACTGATAGAGAAAGAGGCGTGAAGTGATCTTGTGTGCAGTAGGTTTCCTATCTTGCAATAGCAGATGGCACCAACTGCCAGACTCAACAGCCCATCTGAGGGGCCCGCCCTGACCAACCCTATCCAAGGGCCTTGGGCACATTCTCCTTTTCTGTCCTTTCTCCTACAGGCTGGGGAGCCCCAGGAAGAGGCAGCCAACCCCTCAAGCTCCCCCTCTCACATAGCACAGATATAAGCAGCCCATACAGACCACGTTCCTCCTATAATATAATAGCTTATCTCCTTGTCCTGGTCACACAGGTGCTTTAACAGGGGCCTTCCACTGACCCAGGCTTGGGTAATGCCCCAGTTACCCTGATGAGGAGGAGTAGTGGGCAACTGGTTTTGTACAGGGCCCGTAGGACTCATAGCCCTTGAAGCTGCCAAACCCTTACATCCAGCTTCTAAGGCTCCCTCATGCCTGCAAAGCAGCCCCATTGTCCTTCCTCCCTTCTAGCACCCCTCAGATGCTCATTTTCAATACTCCCTTGGTCACACACACCCCACACAGAGCACTTATTGTAGTTTCCTCTGCGAGGTGTTCTCAGCCACTGCCTGTGCCTTTAAGGACTGCTGCCCTGTGTCAGGATCTTGACCTCAGCATCCTCAGCTGAGTTGGATTAAGGGACCATTTCATGCCTTTGCAAATTCCTTCTGGCTGCTGTCCCTTCCCACACACAGAGACAGAGTAGCCAGTAGCCCAAACCAGTCTACCAAGGGTGGCCTGAGAGTTGGTCTAGCCTGATAGCCCATTAAAAGAGCAGAGGCTACCCTTTTAATAGGGGCTTTGGGGTCAGGGAGTGGGCCCTTGGGGGTCGTGGGCTGTCACAAGGACTCCAGAAAGCCTTACAGAGCCTTGAGCCATGAAGGACTGCTCAGATATCATCCTGTGTGTGGAGGCGACAGAGCCGAGCAAGGTGAGAGTCACACAGAACCAATCTCCCAAGACCCAGCTGCCTGCCTAGGGCTGGCAGTGCCCAGTGGGCATGCCTGCCAGGCAATGCTGCCACTCGCACTCAGCCTT